AATCAGATTTCTTCTAAAGTAGACTGTAGCTTCACAAGTTCTTCAGTTTGGGCTTCTTCTATCCTAGCCGCCTCCTTTGCTTTCTCGTGCTCTCTCATTAGCAAATCTTTGGTCTCTTGAAGGTGAAGTTGAATTTCTTCCAAAGCAGACTGTAGCTTCATAATTTCTTCAGTCTTGGCTTCCTCTATACCAGCCTGTCGGAAGTCCAATTCGCAACTCATATTCCAAATTGTTGCCACAATAATAAACAAGCTCACTAAGCTTTAATCACAACCTAGTTAGGCTAGCAACATCGATATGTGAAATCAATCACAACAGTTACAAGTGCAGTTTTAAATACTCCCGAGGGTTTTCAGAATGTCTGGGTGTTGTATCATGAACAAAATAGACACATCCAAAGATATTTGGTGGTAAAGGAAACAACTCACAAGTAGAAAAGAGAACGGAATAAAGAACTTTGTTTTGAAGAAGGAAGGCACCTGATTAATGTGATGGAAAGCATTGAGGATGGAATCAGAGTAGTATTTAGGTTGTGTGTCGGAATGTGATAAGAGTGTGGCAGTGTGCAAGTGGTGACCACTAAATGATGGTTCTTACATTCAGCATTTGCCCATCCCATTTTGTTGAGGTGGTCATACACATTGCAGTTGTTGCTGTATAATATACAAGGTCATTACATCTTTTATAAAGATAGGCATGGAGAGTGATATGAAAGAGCCGTAAAAAAATAGTCCTAATGTTATCACACACCTCCACATTCACATCCTCGGAATTTAGTCCTAATCTCAAAATTATATCTTCTCAACGTATTGGTTCTCCGGAAATCACCAAAGAAACAATCTGTAAACCATCCCCCTACATGTGATTGTCTTTACCAGTTTATCATTGTTGTCATCGTCCAACTCTTAATGCGGCTCCAAATGATGATCCCACCGCTTCCCTTACAATGTATTTGGTTCCACAAAAATTGGCTTGTCCATGAATAAAGGGACACTTATGAATTTATGATAGTTTGCT